TTGATTTTAAAATACTAATGAGTAGTTTAATTTTTGTTTTCTATTTTATTGCTTGGCAAGTTTTTTTTTTTTTTAGTGTAATTATGAAATTTGATTTTGTTAATTATATTAATTTTTTTAGTATTTCATTATTTTACTTTGTTGTCTTTTGCAAAATCATTCTATTTTATAGTTGATGCTTAAGATTTTTTATTTTTTATTATAATATATTTAAAAATGCTTTCCAGTTATTTTAGTAGCAAATTGAGTAATAGTTGATAAAAACTTTATAGTATTGAAGACTTTAATTTTTGTATCAAGGTTTTATATGATTGAAAGATACTCACCTTGCAAGATTATTGAATATTAAAGCATTTGGATACAAATCCAGGGTTATTAATTTCAATAAGTTTTTAGAATTAGATAATATGTTGCATTTGTTCTCAGATATTTGAATATTTTTATAATGATATTTAGATACAATAATGATAAATTTTATATAATAAATAAATTTTTTTCAACATACGTAAGCATTTAATAAGCATCCGTTATGTACTTTTTTCATAAATAGATAAGATTAAGAAAAATTTGCAAATAAAGGCCCAAAAAGTAAAAATAATTACAAACATGAGCTCAAATTAAAAATAATTGTATATAAAGGACTAATTTTTTAAATATATTACATATGAGGACCCAAAACTATTAATGAACTATAATGATAGCAAAATTGCAATTATTTATAAAATTATAAATTGTTTTATTATAAACATTTAGAGTTATCTATATACTGATTATTAGATTAAAGGATAAATAAAGTGCTAGTTATAATCATTTTTGTTTAAGTATTATATAAAAATAGTGTTAAACTAACACAATTATTTATAAAGCAAAGGCTCAATCAACAGCGGACTACCTCTTAAAAATTTTAATACAGTATATTAGCTTAAAAAATGTATCGTAAAGATTTCAATTAAGTTTTTAAAACTTAATAAAATTTTTAACAAAGTAGATATTAGTAGGTATTAATAAATAAATTAATTCAATAAATACTTTATAATTTAATCTGAATGACCCCAACAAAAATTATATGTTATCAACTGACTATCGCACCAAAACAATGAACTATAGCAATCTACAACAGGTAAACTCAATGAGTCACCAGTATCACAGAGTTCAGTTACTTTGACACCATAAGATTCAATTTTTTGGATTTGAGGGCAATAAAAATTACCATTGGTTATTAAACATTTAAAATCTTTTTTAGTAACATTCTTTGAGATACCTGAACCATAATTTGTAATAACAGTCCCACAAGCTCTTGAAAAACCATGACAACCCTTATCATTCACTCCTGCCCCACAATTTCCGTTTGCATTAAACTTATTGTTATCATTTTTACAGATCGCCACATCATTTGCCAGTAATATCAACCTAGCAAGGCGTTTTTGAAATTCAGTTGTATAAACCTTACGAAAATCATTTTGATCGCCCTTTGAATAATTTAAAAATCCTTCTAATGTTTGATTTAATAATAAGGAGGTACCAGAACCAATATCATCTGTTTGCTTTATTCCGCTATCGAGAGAATCTGTAACATTATCTATTGAATCTAAAAAAATCTTTTCAAACCCTGCATAATTAAGCGGTGACAAAAGTGAACTTCTTTCCGATTGAAGTATGGTAGCATAAATTCTTACACCAGATGACATCAGTGGAAAAACTCCAACAAAAAGTTCTTTTGTTCCTATGGCTACCCAACTTCCTAGCGGTAGCATAAGAACTGCAGACACTATAAGTAAAATACTTGATAAAGTCAAAGGAGCTCTATCTTTATTTTCCACATTAGCTGTAAGATCATTTATCATTCCATCAAGGTTCGCCCCAACATCATCCATTGCATTATGCAAGCCTTGATAAAAATTGTATGCATTATCTACATAATTTGTATAAGCTTCACATAAAATTATCGCTTCATTAACAATATCCTCACATGGATAATTAATTGCTTTTCCGATTGTTAATTGACTGTAAAAAGGAGTAGAATTTATAGTTCTATTTATAGTATAAGAATCGACACACTCAGAAATATTATTTCGAGGTATCATCAATCGATTATTTATCACGTTGATACCAAACCAGCAACTTAAAACTATTTCTGAAGCCGTATATACGGGAATTGGATCATTAGGAGTAGTTTGTAGATATATTACTGCGTTATCAGTAGTACCTTTATCATTGCCATCACACATTAGATGGGAAGAATAAGAACCGCCAGGGTTGGTTGGGTCGAAATTAAATGTGACAGAGCAGGGAAAAGTACATTCATTCACAGTGACTTGACCATCCTTAGAGCATTTTTCCCTATAGAACCTAGGAACAATATCATCATCCTTCAAATCGGGTCTAAATCTATTATCTCTAAATGTGGTGGCAAAGCATGCATCATCGATGATATGTACTGAAACTAACAAATTTCCACAAGATAATTTAACACGAAAGTTATATATTTTGGGTAATCCATAATATAATTTAACTTCCTTTACATGTGGATCATTTGAACTCAAATTAGTAGCGGCTTTAGTGGAAATACCAACTTCATATATAGTACAAGACGGAGGCGCAATTCCGGTGGTAGTGGCAGGTTTAGTGATAGTGGCAATTTTAGTTTTATAAGTAGCAGCAGAATTAATAGTAGTGGCAGTATTAGTATTAGTGGTAATAGTAGTTCCAGGTTTAGTTTCAGTGGTAGTATTAGTATTAGTGGTAATAGTAGTTCTAGTTTTAGTTTCAGTGGTAGTATTAGTATTAGTGGTAATAGTAGTTCCAGTTTTAGTTTCAGTGGTAGTTTCAGTGACAGTAGCTAAATACGTTGATGAAATTAGACCAGGATCGTCAAATAATTTCACATCTCTTGGTGAATTAATGTTGAATTTGGAAATTTGTGCGAGAGTAGTTGTGTTAGAATTATCCAGTGTATTATAAATAAAATTATATGTAGCTGTATAGTCAACTAGCGTAAAATTACAAGTATTCGATTCTGGTGTACAAGAGCAAGAGGAATCTCTAATGCCATGCATTGGCGAATATATCAAGCATTTATCATTAAAGTATTGAACAATGTACATATGCGGCAAATCCGGATGAAAATCAGTTGATAACGAAATGGTATGCACGATTGGCGCCCCAGCCAAAAGTTTCACAGTAGCAGGTTTCGGATTTGTAAGGTCACTAATGCAAGTATAAATGCTACTACTAATAACATTAGTTTCAGTAGAGAATTTCCATGAATAAACGCATTGGAGATTGCAAGATTCTTTTACGGTGATTGTCCAAAGACCATCGACCTTCATACACGAAAAAGATCCCGGATTAAGAATAGAATTCTCAAACACGCAATTATTATCATCAATTATCTTGATAGTTTGAAATTGAAAACTATTGCATTCGTCGATAGAAAAGGAATAACAAGTCTCGATTG